GTGGAGAGAACATGGCCGAATTTGCCTAGCGAAGTGTCGGCGAGGAGTAGGTCTTTGCTGGTTGGCGAGAAAGCACTGAAAAATTACGTCAGCAAAGGCAAAGAAAGAAGGTCATGAACGAGCAAACCTGCGCAATGAATGCCAGCAGTGCTGCCAACAGGTGGGGTGCTTGAAAGCGGAATGTCGGCGTTAGACCTGAGTGCCGAGTTTGCCGTCCCAGTGTCGCCAGCTTTGTAAACGTCCACCACAAGTTCGAACAGCACTGTGAGCGGTCCCAGTTGCGCGCCAGGCTGTCCGAGTCAAGATAGCTCGATGAGTTGGGCGTTTATCACGAGTTGGGCGACTGAGGCTGTTGTGTTGACGCAAGTTTTCGGCGCCAGGTGTTACTGAACGTGGAGATGAGCGAAAGCAGTGACGGGACGCATGGAAACATACCAGCAGCGACGAGCGACGCGTCCACGAGCGCCATGGTGGTGGAGTGAAGACAAGCCAGGAAGTGGGGCGTGACTTGGTTGATGATTTGATTTCTCCACGGAAATCACATCACGGTGTCAACCATGTTGTCACCGATTCAGGGTCGGCGAAGGAGCGGCGCGGGCTGTTGCCGAGTGGTGTGGAGCATAAAATTAGCCGCCCATGCTGGTGCCGTGAATGCGCAGGGCGGTCGTCCACGTGCCCGCGCACAATCATGATGGCGCATCAAGGCATCTGCGGTGCAATGCGTCAGGAGCCTGAAGATGCAGCTCGGAGCAAGGGAGAGGAAAAACGAGGTGAGCGGCCGGTGACACGGTGTCACCGGCGGCCTATTTAGGGCCGAGGTATCGTTGGCTACTGCCAGATTCCGGCCTAGGGTCGGACACGGCGAATCACCAGCGGGTGGAAGGTTGACTGCTCGGTATTACGTCGCATTCAAACGTGGCTTTAGAGGCTAGGGCGACGCATGAGCCGGGGCTGTGCTTCTGATGTCTGTTGTTAAAATGAGCACATTAGTAACCGTCGGGGAGTCGGAAATGAAGCAAGCTCGGGCGGCGTATGCAGAGAAGCTACACAGAATGGAAGCCGTGGAGCGTTGCCTGGCATGCCTTGACAGATGTGATGGGAATGACGAGATAGGGAACCACCCTGAACGGCCAGCATAGTATCCTTGTGCAGCTGTTCCTCGAGCTCGTCTGGTTTTCTCCAGCGCATGTTCAATGCTATTTTGGCCCCAGGACACTAGAAATCTCTTTTTTGCCCAATTTTGATCCATTTTGACGCGCTTTTCGACGCGTTTTGCCGATGCGTCTTCCTGGATTTTTCCGTCCATGCGTTCCCCTCAAGCACGTCGTTTCTCGTGGCCATCAAACTGGCCACCCAAACCCAAATCTGGTAATTCCACCGGCTACTGGTCGGAATCCTCTGCCTGAACCTAAACCGAGAAGATTATTTTAGGTGAGTTGTTGATAAACCTTTCTAACTGCCTTCTAGCGCATTCCGAGCATCCCATTCGCCCTCGATCCTGTTAGGATTTAGTCTGAACTAAAAACACCATTTCCCGCAATATGTGTGCATCGGCGCCACGATAACGTCAGGCAAAGACCCTGAGCGATATAAATATACCACCCCAGCTTCGCCGAGCCGTTGCCTAGGCCCAACGACGTCGTAATCCCGAGTTATCGTGTGCGCGTTGTCCGAATTCTGGTTCATGACTCAACACGGAGCTCGGCATCATTCTTAATTGACAGATTGGATGAACGCGCACTTCTGGGTGAGTTTATTTTCGTCTTGCGAGCCTCAACTTGGTTGAGTTTCGTTTTTTTTTGTGCTCAACGACTGGACTTCTGGGGCTATATCGATCCAGAATAGCACACTCAAGTCTGAAAATAGGAAGGCTGTCAAGGCATTTTGGGTTGTGATAACGAAACGGGCCGTGTTCGCTAAGCGAGCTCCACCCGCCCGCGGTATATAAGGGCCACGGCCTTCAACCGTCGCGCATCTGCCCCTTCTTTCTGCCCCCATCTTTCTCAAAGTCAACCTCACGTGTTGTCGTTGCTCCTTTGCTTTCAACATCGCCCTCTTCTACATCGTATCTACTCATTCCTTGACTCCGTCTACTCCCCGCGTCGTCGCCTCTGTCCAACTCGGGTGGGTAATTCATCTCTTGTCCAAAGACATATGCTCACCTCTTCAAGATATCAACCTCCCTTTGCGCGTTTGGGTGTTTTGGTGAGTGAAGTCTTTGCGTGTGTTGTTGACGGTGCTGACAGCCTTCGCCATAGCTCGTTTCTGCCAGCGGTTGCGACTGGGTAGAACTGCCCGCTTCTCCCTTGTATTCTCGCATTTATCGTCGTTAAGGGAGAGAATGCTGACTGACATTTTTACAGTTCTTGCGACGGAGAAGTTGTGTTGTCGTCTCTGGCCAACTAGGGTGAGTAATTCATCGTTCGTCCAAACACATATGCTCACCTCTTCAAGATATTGGCCACCCTTTGCGCGTTTGGGCTGCGGTTGCGACCATGTCGTTAGATGCGTGGGTTGTATGTGCGTTGTCTTGTTTTGCTGGTCTCGTCGCGTCGGGGCCCTTTGTCTTGCGTCGTTGACGGTGTTGACAGCCTTCGACATAGCTCCGCTAGCATTTGCGACTGGGTGCGTGGGTTGTACCTGCCGGCTTCTCCGTCTTGTTCTCGCATTTGTCGTCGTTGACTGAAATTTCACAGTTTCTGCGGCGGTGGAGTATCACTTACCTTGCGCTCGCATTTCTCCCTCGTTCGTCATCCGTTTAGTTGTCGCCGTTTTTGAGCTGACACGGGTCAGTCTACTTTCGTTATCATAATTGCGCGCTTATCTTTTCGCTCGCAGTTTCATGGCGTTGCGGGCGCAAGTTTGCGAAGATTGGACCGGCTGCCAAGCTTTGGTGCGTGCTCGAAGCCGTTCTTGCTGGGTTTGTGCTGACCGTCTCTCAGGCAGCTGCCGTTGAATTCGATTTTCGCGCCGTTCTAGCCATCGTGGTCGGCGGGAGGGGAGATGTTCTTGGTCGCGTTGGGTAAATTTGGTGCCGGAGAAACGGCTGGCGGCAGGGCTTGATGCTAGGCCGCGGAAATTGCCGCTGGTTTGTTGGCGCTGGCGTTGCGCCGCTTGGCGCGGAGGTTGGCGCGGTCAATTCGGTCGGGTAGGAGACCAGTTTTGCCGAGGGGTGTAGCTAGACGTGAGTTTGCGGGAGGCGGCTTGTTTGCGTGCCGTGCGCGGCAGTGCGAGCTGAGCATTTTGAGTCCAAGTCCGGGGAGAGCGGGAGTGGGTGTCGTGAGTGAAAGGCCGTTGACAGCGACCACGTGTGATCGGACCGCCGCACAAGGCTGTGTCCACCTTCTTCTTTTCGTTCAACACGCGCCGCCCCGACGCGTTCTCAGGTCGAGGTCGAGGTGGCCGACGCTGGTTCTATGTTGGCGCGTCATCATGCTTATTTGCTAGCTCGATCGTCAACTTGAAGCCAGGTGAGTTTGGGTTCAAGTTTGTCGGGTGGTGGTCGCGCGTGCTTACTCTGTTTGTTTGCAGGCTTGCCAGTGTGCCGGTCTCACTCGTTGTTCTTGTCTGCAAGCTCGACTTTCGCCGTTCGTGGCTGTTCACGGCACTCCATTGCGGTAGGTCTGCCCCGTTTAATTCCCTTCCTTTATCGTAAGTTTCTTGTTGATACTCATGTTCACTACACGCTTGGCATGCTGACCTCGTTTTAGCACGCTGCACTTCCTGCCCGTCCGCCGGGTCTTGAGCAAGGTGTGTATTGCGGCGTTCGATTTCTTGTATTGAACCAGCGCGCTTCGGTCGCCTTCAATCTGGTTGTCGCAGGTTTGCTTTTTATGATTCCCCTCATTTGCACTGTTGACTTCAATTGCAGCTCGTCCATGGCACCATTTTCAGCACTCGCGGGCCTCCAAGTTCGGGTTCACTCGTTGTCAGTTTTCTATTGCTTTTCTTGCTCACAACACTGACTCAACTAGTTTCCGACTGAACGCCTTCCGTTCAAGTTTGGGATGGTAATTTTCTCATTCCGGCGCGCTCGATCATCGCGCAAGGTGTGTATATTGCGTTGTTTACCAGTCTCAGAATAACCTTCAATCTCGTGGTTGCAGGTTTGACGCGGGCTACTATTATCTGTTCTAGTCAGCTCATGTCGGTCAACTCCGCGCTGACCTTCTTGGTATTATTCCCCGTTTGTTTCGAATGTCCCTCTCGGCGCTGCCAACTTTGAATGGTAGGTTTGGCCGTTTTGACCACAGTAGTCGCGTGTTAGGCTTGTCAGCGGGGGCTGCAAGGTAAGCCGTGCTCCTTCTTAGTTTGCTTGCATTCACGTTGCTCTATTCTAGCATCTGCGCGTCGCTATTGGTATATTTTGCTTTTGTGCTGCCGCGTCATTTGTCTTCTTTTGTGATGCTGATTAATCTGCAGGCTTCAATCTCGTCTAGACCGCCTCATCATGCATGCCGACCTTGTTTAACTCGTTCGTAGGTGTGTGTGTCGGCTGCTTGTTAGCGAGTCGGTTTTGACGAGTTCAGATTTTGAAAATAGAGGAGCATGCAGTAATTGGCGCGTTGGCCGACGAGAGGTTAGATAGTCGTCGTCGGCGTTGTTTTACGACATTGGGGGTGTCGGCTGACCAACGTAGTGGTGTCGGCAGCTTGTTTGCGCGCATCTCAGGCCACCACCATTATAACTTCCTCATCAAGGTGTGTAGCCAGCTGTTTCTTACTTCTGAAAGCTTCTGCTCATTGGTGTAAGCAAATCCTGTCTGTTGCGACGCATGGACGCCTTCTTTCATCACGACTATCGGGATTGACTTCAAGATTCCGACCATAGAGCTGGACGAATCAAGCTCCAAATTGTATGCCTCGCCTGTCTTGGAAACCGCAACGCGAAACGTGGACCGCGGGCCAAGAACATTTAAAAACGTCAACCACGGCGTACTTATTCTCTCTCTTTCTTTGCCACTTCCTGTAATCCCCAGCAACACGGTTGAAAGCATTTTTTTAGGAGACGAACATCTCCGGCAGTTTGGATCTGGTCTGAGAGGCAAACATGAAACTCTTCCAGATGGTGTCGATGCCGACGTTATCGAGTATCATCGTGAGCAATATGATGTTGCGCGCTAAATACTTCAGAAATGCTGGCGCAAGTTGAGACGTCTTACTCAGTACAGCTGGCTCAACGTCACAAAAAGTCAAGTCTAACTTGCGATTCACTGCCGGAAGTGAGCAGACGAGAGAATTGTTGTTGTTATGAACTCTTACGATTCTCGGACTCAGAGTAGACGGTGTACAGAACGTTGCGTATGTCACCGCATCCCAGGGCCAATATGTTGACAGAGTGCTCTGGAGCGACATCTCGCAGCAACGACGTTGCGGGACCGGAGTTGCTGATGGGATGAAAGGCTCTGTTTCGAAAGGCTAATGGTCGCGCCATGACGAAGGTGATGGTGGTGCGAAGAAAGGGCGAGTGAGGTCTACTTGAATCATAATATGGGAAGAGCCGTCAAACAACCTTTCTTGATCTTCACGGTTCGGAGGTCAGGGTCGGCTACCTAAGTCGGAATCGGTGTAGTGGGCTTCATAGTCGCTTTCAAACACGAGTTCCAGTATCCTTGGATACAATAGCAGCCACCACAGTATTCTTCTTCACTGTTAGCGTTTTTAGGTGCGATGACACACGGCCCACCTCTGGAACAGATTTAGTGGGGACCTGCCTGTTCCCGCGGAATGCCTCAATCGTCATTGTTAGCCTCAAGCGAGGGTCGATACGAATGCTCTTGAGGGAACAGTGGAAACGCTTGTGGAGTTAACACCAAGGCAACTCACCGTCACCTGAGTATCACGTGTTCTGTCACAATATCGTATGGCATCACCAAAATACGTCGTCGTTAGGCAAAGGGCTAGGTTACGCGTTGTCACTTGTACATGTAGCGACTACGGGGGAGATGATTCGTAAAGGAGCATAGAGGTAGAGAGAGCCAAAGGGAAGAAGGAAGATCGTTCAGACAAGACATCTAGCGAATCGTTTGGGGTCGTTCACCGCAACCCAGCGAGCTCAATCGTGGAGCGCAGCATTGGCGGTGTCGGTCGTGGAGGTAGCGACGGCACGGGCGGAAGCGCTGGAGAGGATTGGCTTGAGGACCGCGACGTAGGTCGTTTGAGCACCCTAGAAACACGAGCAAAAGGGCAACGTAAGCATTACGCAATCACGGGTGAAAAAAGAAAAAAACTGCTGGCAAAGGCACACGAGGAAAACACACGCACGCGGAAAGCAGGCAGCTGGAGCCAGAGAATGAAGATAGTCTTGAATGACCAGTACCAGGGAAGGTAGTAGAGCAGGACACGGAGACCGAGTCCCTCAAGGAGATTGAAGAAACCGAAAACGACCCAATATGTGAGCCACTGGATGTCGTCCTGGGGGGCAGGCGTCTCAATGGCCTTGAATGAGAGGTAAGCAGGGAGGCCCCAGCCGACAATGTTGGAGATAAGGGCGGCGAGAGGGTTGATAAGGTGAAGAAGGACGAGAAGGCTGGCGCCGCCAATAACAGCGTAGGTTTTGGGAACCTGCGTACGCTGCTCGAAGTTGTTGAGGAAGGGGTACTTGGTGAGCTGGAACGAGGGTTATCAGCCAGAGTAGAATGGAGAAATGGCTAGACTCACCTCCTTGTCGAGCTGGTTGACGTAGTATGACGCCTTGCTCTGGGCCTGGAGATAAACAGGGTGCTGCTGTACTTTTTGGGCGGCGGACATCTATCAGAATGTCAGCAGCAGTAAGAGCACAACCACGGAGAGCCATACGGTTACGTGCAAAGAGTCGTGTGTGGTGGTAAAAGACAAGATACGGGATGTGCGTCACAGGTGGGTCACTCCATCCTTCGTCATGGACTACACGTCTCTCAAGGTAAGCAATCCTTCCATGGCATTCCCCACTAATCCTCTCCCCAGTCCCTCTACGCGACCTCTCCGGCATTCTCGCCACTTATTCCCGTTGGCCTGCTGCCATACCTCGCATTCATTCTCTTGCTTCTCACTTTCACTCTTGGCTTCTACGTGTCAACGTACGCGACTTCTGCTCTACTCTATCTCCTCTCACATATCGCTAGACTACCAAAAGCAGCTTTACCAGTCCGCGAAGTCGGCGTTGCATCCCTCGCCAGTGTTCTGGGTGGCTTTGGGGTCGTCGCGCTCTTTTGCACACTTGGAGTATATGTATAAATGCAAACACGCTTTCCAGCTCCTTCATGATGAACGTGTAAACCGTTGAGCAAGCAAACTCAGCACAAGTGCGAACAAGGAGCGAGCTTCTTCGTCTAATCGTCCCGAATAAATCAATCTTCCTTCGTTTGTGGGTCACGCTATGGCAAATGCATTGGAAGGTTATCACAATATTCAGGAGTCTCTTATCGCGGCTCTGGACCGCTACAGGAAATTCTTGTGGGCCGCGAATCCCTATTGAGATGATCTAGTCAAGAGCGCCGGGACACTTGACCAAACAGTCATTCAAAACATTGCTTTTGGAGCCTGAATTTGCGCATCTTAGTTGTCGGGTCCATGAGTTTTCGAGGTCAAACTGGCCTGGGGGCCGTCTTCACATGTCGTGATTCATGGTGCGAGTAGGGGTGGCAGATCGCAGCGGTAAACACTGTGTCCGACTCCAAATGAGAACCTTGACCAAATGAATCGGGAAATTGTCAACTCGTCCCGGGCCTGAACTGCCGCTTTAGAGTGTTGTTGACAACTTCCTTTCCTTCCGATGACGCTTGTTGTATTAGCGTCAAGAAGACCAGATGTGGAAGATTGCATATTTTCAGTTGTTTACTCTCCACCCGTGTTTGCAGGCCACACACTACGAAGCATTAAGCATCTCCGGTGCATTTCATGCGTGACTCACAGTATAAAAGATCGTTGAGCCCTCGTCCGCACTTCTGAGCTGTGGAATGTCATATCAATCTCCCTTTCATTCCAGGTATCACAGAAATCACCCACCTGCATCTCTTTTGAGTACGCTTCTAGCGCCCCGCAGGAAGGACATTTCTCCGAGACCTATTTCGGGGTCAGAAAAACAAAGGCAGACTGACAAAGCAACCAACAAGTGTCCCTTGATCTCCTTGCTCGTGCCGTTTTGTCTGAGTCTTACGTTTCTGGAGCAGAGCGGACGGGAAGGCGTCTGGGTCGGAGCGCGTCGTTATCTCCGTGTTTTCATAGGCTACAGATATCTGATCAACGTGGTCGACGAGTCAGGCGAGCCAACACACAGCTTGCAGGCTCGATATGGCCGCACTGCTCACAAACGACGGTGGTTTCCCCGTCTTTGGGCAAGTCCAGAAGAGTGCCGCAGTTGGGGCAGAACACGAGAGATCCTGGCCAAAAACGCGTCAGCTTCCTTATTGTCGCGTACACAGAGTTCCTGACCGATTTTGTTTGCTGCCATCAGTCGGTGTCACGTGTGACTCTTCCAGACTTGACGTCGACCTCCAAGTAGGGACAAGGCGAGCAGCCTTCTTTGATGCCCGTTGTCAAGTCCTTATTCTCTTTTTACTACTTCCACGAAAAAAACAATAGCATGTCCCGATACGGCGCGCTTTCTTTTGTCTGGCGACCCAAGATGTCGGTTTTGTGGGTCCCAGTGTGCAAGAGCGTATATATGCCGCCACACCTGCTGCTACATCCTCCAGATACCGGCTCTTCCTCTGTTCTCTCCTACCTAGCGATCGCACTACAAACGACCTTTCACGATTTGACGTTAACATTTCCACACCTCCACTGCATTGTTATCCTTGACTCGTTCGGGCGATCCACATACCCACGTGTACGACGCCACTCTCTTTCACCGAAAGCGCGGCATATATAACGACTCGATCCCATATTACTTTCATCCACTACCACTTGGATTCTACTATGCAGGCCACCAACCCAGAGCTTCCTCGCAAGATCAAATCTCTCCCATCCTCGGCCTTCGCCCGCCTCTCCCAGACGCTTATCACCGCCAATGCTCTTCATACCGATAAGGCCACCACCTTTGCGGCGACGACTACGCGTACTTTCCATGCTCGGAACAGGGCAGTCAAGCTTGGATTGGCTATTGACACGGTCAAGGCCTACAATTGCCCTCACCACAAAGTGTCTTATGTTCCGCTTCCTATTATTGAGCAGGAGGTCATCGAGCCTGCCATTCTTCCCATGCCCAAACAGAAGAAGCGGCGACCTGTTCTTCGCCTCGACATCCCGCAAGACATTCCTGTCAATGTCAACCGAGCCAGCGCTCTATACAGCATCATCGACCTCGTCTCCCCACTCCCATCCATTCCAGCAGTTAACGTTGTCGACAAGCGTTCCGGACCTTTGTGCGGGGTCTTGCCATGGAATGGCTATACTGGCCAAGGCGTCAACATCCAGGATCTGGCGGACCCAGACTTCCTTATCCCTACCCGGGAGGCACCGGCTCGGGTCATCCCACAACCTATCTTGATGCTCGAATTGGACGATGAGTCAGACGGTCTGGAACTGGGGTATCCTGAAGACGACAATGATTCAACCAAGACTTCGCCTGCTATGTCGGTCGAAACAGACTCTCCTTCCGCCTCGAGTGGGCCGAGCACCCCTTCGGATGTGGAAATGTCAGACACCTCTTCTGTCTCTTCATCTGGCGGAAAGCGGAAGATGAACAACGACTATGACGGCGAGCTTGACATCGTCTTCGAGAAACGACCCAAGGTAAGTAGTGTCGTGATGAACTGGACCGAGAACTGACGATTATTTCATCTTTAGTACGCTCGAAAGCCATGGACACGAGCTACGGACTCCGCGCCACACAAAGGTGTGGTGTGCTAGTGCCTTGACATATCGAATTCTGTCGTAAGTATTTATTTGCTTGCTGGTGTCCCCTCTCACACCCTCTTCCAGTGTCTCTACGAAAACGAAACCAGAAAACGAACTACACAAGGACATTGGACTACATCTCTTTCCGTGATCCCTCCCATGCCCATTCGATCGATTCGAATTCCCCTCCATCCTGTCTTTTCTCTTTTCCTCTGTCTGTTCTCTTGTTAACGACCTGCTATGTCGCCGTGGATCCTGTTACCCGCCCGTTCGCCGATGACCCTCTTATACCTTGCTTATACTAATATTCCTGTAATGTCTGTTCTCCTGCTCTCCCCCCTGTATCCATTTGTCCGTGCTTTGCTATCGTTTGTTATCGCTCTTGCTGTCTTTACCATGTACTTGCTGTCCTTTGTGTAACATATTCCTAGCCCTCACTAGGCCTCACTAAATTGTGCCAACGTTTAATTAACGCGCCGAGACTTTATCGGGATTGGTGTTCCGATATGGTACTCCAGTGGTAGTACTTTTACCTGGACGCCAGTTTTCTACGAGGCTTCAAGTGCATGATACTTGTTTAGTTACATGATTCTATTCCGGAAGCTTCTTTGGATCAGGGCGTTATACTCGCACTTTAGTACCGTGATACAGCCGTTTGCATAATTTCGTGAAAATGTCAAAAAGAATTCGCGCGCACGTGCCTGATGGCCGCCGCCGGCAAGCCTCATCAAAGCAGCAAAGCCGGACATTAATTTGCCGCGCATTAGGCACAGACTGGGCTTAACCCAAAATTGAGACCACAAAATATGTCTTCAGAGTGTACTATTTATAATCATAGAGGCTTATGTATTTACAAAGAATGTTTATGAGTACAGTACTCTGGCCCAAGTTGCCAAACTACTGTACTATTTCATTCAATTCTGCGGGCCTGTGACCTGTGACACATGTGGCAGAAATGTGCAATTCAGCCAAGGGGTGAATTTGGTGTGACCTCCTGCCTTATATGGAAGTTCTGCGCGCCGTAGGCGCGAAAACTTTTAAAAATTACCATTTTGGGACGGTTTAGAGCCAAAGAAACTTGCTGTGACCTGTGACAGGCAGAAAATTTTCGGCCAAAAAAGTCAATGTGACCGTGACAGGACTAATTGATTGAAATAGTACAGTATGGCTGCTAACCATCTATTTCCTGATCAATAGTGTCTACAATAAGTACATATAATCCTTCTCAGATATATTGGTCTACCAAGCAGCAATATGTTCCTACATCTGTGCTTACTTACCTGGATCTGAAATCTTCACAAGATCATGCAGGTCTATGTTGAAGTTTTGATGGTCTCAGTGTGACTCGCCGGAATGTTCTGGCACTTTCCACCTTATGCTGACTGATATTTTCCTGATTCCCTTAGAATATACTAGAAGAATGTATAACTAGTATATAAAACAGAATAGATAGTCAGCGTAGGGCATCGTTTGCCCTAACGCATAGATCACTCACCTGATTGCGATTGCAAACTTCTCGCTCTCTTTGATCCCGGATCAACGCTTATTTCAACAGTCTAGGTTGCCGGCGCCGGCCATCAGGCACGTGCACGCGAATTCTTTTTGACATTTTCACGAAATTATGCAAACGGCTGTAAGTATTCACATGCAAACTTTAAAATTTTGCAAGACGGTACGGGTTGCACGTGACACTGTGGTTTTTCTTCCTGCCACCATGGGCGATGCATCTACGAAGGCTCTTCGTCAACGCTTGACTGAAATTGATACTGAAACGGCGGCTCTTCATTCCCGAACTGCCAGACAGGCCACTAAGCGGCTCAAAGTCGTCCAACGACTGAAACGAGTTATCTACCCAGTTCTCACTCTCCCTGTCGAAATAACCTCTCTTATATTTTTCTATTACTCCCAGCTTCCAGGTTATCGCGCAGTATCACTCTCAGACTCGAAACATCACCACTGGCCAAACCCATTCATTCTCCTCAGCGTCTGTCGACAGTGGCGTCAAATCGCACTCCAGCTTCGTAAACTCTGGACGAAATGGAACATAACAGGGAATTACACGAAATACATAACCACAATCGAACGCCGTCTTCGTTTTGTCCTCAAACATGCTGGACCAAACCCTACAATCGAAGCTGAGTTTTACGGTTCACAAGACCCTGGGCCAGTGATACCGGAAACCTTGTTCAAGTCGGCAGAACGATGAACGAAGCTTGAGCTGACCGCAACCGTGCATTGTTCTCGGTGGAATTCCATCCGGGATCGTCTTTGCCGACTGCGCAGTCTGGCGATCTTTCCGCAGAGCGAACTACCGGAATCGGAATGTCCTATCACTGCATTCGAGCTTGCGCCACTGGAGGAGGTAGAGTTGGTCGACATTGATGCCACCATGATAATTCTTCCATGGACTCAGCTAAAACATCTTCGGCTATATTTGAATGACTTCGACTCGACAGACTGTCTCTCCGTTCTTTACCAAACAAAACGTCTGGAGATTCTTCACCTTCGCAGTTCCAAGCCACTGCAACGCTATCTTCAACGAAGAAGGATTGTATTCTTTCGAGATGGGCGGTTCCCACTCATCCTTAACTATGACAAAGGCCGTCGTTTCAGCTATGGATAGACTTGACGATCTCGCTGCATCTCGAGATGCCAGTGACTCCGAGTTCGATACGAGCCTACCAGTGAACCCGCCATTCGCATCGGAACCCGCGCCATAAAAAATCTGTGCTTCAGTTCCCCTCAATCTGACCCTCAACTTGAAGCCGTATGTATTTCAGAGGTAATTTTCAAGCGCTGAAATATATATTATAGCTTCACTTGTACACACTGCACACCGAGGCTGCCAGTGATTGACGTCAATTCGAGCTATTAGGTTCCCAGTTTTTTCACGCACCAAGAAACTTGAACGAAGTACATATTCTGGCATCATGCATCATGGTTCAACCAGTCACCAAAGTTTCGAAACTGCCAGAGAGGAAATTCTCCTACCACCTGAGTTGCAATTCTTTACCGTCCAAGTTAGTTCGGAGTAATATTAAGTCTATTACAGTCAACTTGAAGACGCAGACAAATTATTGCATGATTGGCTATCCGAGTAATATCCAAGTTCAAGATGATCATTAGCCAAATTGCTCGTACTACACGACTGCACTTGTAGATACCTAACCGCTTATCGACAAACTTGAATAAGAAGCTGACCGATATCTTTTTTTTGGCGCATGCCAACCAAATGCGGACAGTTCCATTCGGGGATAAAACTTTTGTCTCTGAACCAAACACGATGGCACAACCCTCAACAGAATCCCTACGCCGACAATTGGAAGAAATCGACGCCAAATCAGCCGCACTTCACGCAGAACTCGCGGAACTAGCTTCCCAGCGAGGCGGCGTTGTCCAGAAACTCAAAGCCGTTACTTGTCCCCAGTTCGCTACTCTCCCGGCCGAGATTACCACCCAGATATTTTCGCACTACCACCATGACAACTATGTCAAGGTCCTCAGTCGAAAGCTCCCCATTCCATTCATCCTCGCGGCCGTGTGTGGGTCATGGCGTCAAGTAGCGCTGCAGATGCCCCAACTTTGGACCCGGCTGATGTTCGCCCCGTTTGGATATGCCGATCCAAAGAACGTGGAGCGCAAGTTTAGGGACTGCGTTGCATACGCAGGCGAAAACGCGGGGCTGGACATCGTTTTCCATGGACCGGCATCGATTGTCAGGGTCCAGACTATCTTTGAAAAGGCGGAGCAATGGGCGGAGCTCGCGATTGGAGAAGGAATGTTCCGTCAGTCGAGCGGCAATTGGAACTTCGTTCACGGTCGTCTCACTCGCCTGCGAAGCCTGACAATCTGGGCGGAATCGTCAGGTTGGGGTGGGAGGGAGTCCAATTTCGACCACGTTCCACCCATCACTGTATTCGAAACGGCGCCATTGCTGGAGCATGTCGCGCTTCTAGACATCGATGCAGAGATGTTTTCTCTCCCGTGGACCCAACTGAAGACCCTCGAACTCTTATCCCTCCGAAGTTTCGACACAGAGACAATTCTACCCATTCTTTGCCAACTTGTCCAACTCGAAACCCTCAATCTCCGACTCCCCATTGAAGCCCCTCCTCCAGATTCGGCCCCAGTGCGTCTTGAGCGCCTTGTATCTCTCACCATTGACTGGGTTCTATATGCCAACACTGCTGCCAGGTATGAACCAATGGGTACGATGGGTGCTGTCCAGATACTACGCCTTTTTGAGCTCCCTATACTCGAAGAACTTACCACAGAACTATTTGACTATCCAACTGTAACGGCCCTCGGAGAGCTGCTCACGCGATCCGGCTGTACCTCTTCCATGCGTCGTCTGGCGTTGACTGCCGACCACGGACAAATCGACCCAGACGCGATTTTGACGGTGATCCCACGACTCGACAAGCTTCGAATTGTCGGACTGGAGTGGCGCCAGCTCATCTCCACTATCCATCGCCTCGCCAAAGATACCGCTCCCCAAATCCGGGATTTACAACTGGAGACTGTTCCTGGGCGTATTCCTTATGCTCAAATCGCTTCGCTCCTCGCAGCGAAGACGACTTCCCAAAACATCAATCTTGTGATTCCTCCGTTTGAAGAGGGCTACGATGGGCTCTCAACCAGCCCACAAGCAGACCGTGCGGCCATGGACAAACTGCGTAGCGTGGTCTTGTCTCCGAATGGCCCAAACATCAACATTCAAGGCATGTCTCCCGCTATTGCTGCGCAACTTGAGCAGATTGCGGTCAGTACCCATTTTCCCGATGCTCTCTGTTCTCATCTGTCTGCAGCCGCCTTTGTACACCCTCGGAGTTGACACCGCTGATTCAGATTCCAACACACATGATGGAGATGGAAAAACCTGTAAGTAACCTATAGTATGGCATTGTAGCACGAAAGTGTAAATGCTATTACTCGCCTCGTCTTACCTTACTCTGCTCGATCGATCGCGTAAATATGACTTCCTTATCAGACGATTCACCCTTAACAGTCAACCTCAATGTTAGTGGAAATCGACGGCCTCGTCCTCCCTCCGACCGTTGAAGATCTTCCTCGAGCGGTCCAAGCAAACAGTGTGCCATCCTTCAAACCAGTGAACCACAAACTGACGATTTGCCCACCCTGCAGTACAGTCCGACTATAACAATCGGCGAGCAGAACTCGAAAATGCTATCACAAAATCTCTCGGAAAGCCATACACGATCGATGTGGACCTGCGTGCTGCTTGGCCGTATGCCAACAGCAACGGATGCTCGAATTTGGGTGCTTTAGTCGTTGAGTTAGTGTCTTAAATCCGCACACATTGGTCTGAGAGACTGAGACTGTTTCAGGTATTTTGAGGGGTTCATAATGGCGCTGGAAGGCTACGTCGAACTGTACGAGGAGGCCGGAAAACACTGTTTCAACGGTGTGGTCATGCAGCAAAGGATTCAGCTCAAGGTCAGCCTCCAAAATTTTGAATGTGGCGGCAGAATGTGACATTCTAGCACTGGCAGCTCAATCCTCTTATCGGCCGATATGCGAGCGTGGTATCCCAGTCCATTGACGACGGCGTTTATTCCATCCTGTTTCACCCGTACTGGTTTGGTAGAGCGCGTTCGTTCCCCAGAGACCACTGCAGTGTCTCTAACATACAGTGCATTATCGATCGCTTCCAAGTGCCTATGAATCTCTTGGGACATTCCTTCAACCTCTTTACACAACGCTCCATAGACAAAAACTACGATCCCGCATGTGTGGAAGCCGCACGGAGTGGTCTCAGCCAGCTCCTGCGCACACGAGTAATACTTTCAGACCCCAATTGGGGCGAGATTTACGGCGTATTGCAGAGGGCAAAACCGTCTTTTGCCGATATTGACCTCGGTCGCACCGCGCTAGAGCGATTCGCAGAGCTTCGCGATCGACTGCAGGCGCTTCCAGGTCAGCCATTATTCCAATTACATTGTTGATCCCAAGCAACCCTCCGACAGAAATGCACGAGCCGGCCATAAGACAGCAGCTCGAAAATAGGTTAGGTGGCTCGGACCTCCAAATCCGGATCCGAGTATTGGAACAAGATTTGTCAGAATTCGAGCCTGTCACGACTGAGCCTGGTATCATGTTTATCCAGGTGAAATCCTTATGGTTGTCGCTCCCCTTCACTGATGGTCAACTCTACATTAGTTCACTCCAAACGGATTCTGCAATGGAGATCGGTATCTTGGGGTGAATCTACTGGAACATTTGACTGGAGTCATCGTTTCATTGTGGTTATCCTAAATTATTTCCTAAGCCAGTGTGTTGGTATTGGTCATTGCTTGGCTGTAGTCAGAGCATGTTATAAGTAGTAAGGTAGGGGCCGTGGGAACCCCGCACGTTGACTAATCCATCAATTGATGGCATCAGCGCCATCATTTGGCACAAGAAATTTTTAATTTCTATATTATGGCTCAAAAACTATGTGAACAACATTATATTACTTGATATGAGCAATAGATGCCTTTACTTGGTCAATCATAAACTGAGGAAGCATACGATGGCCCTTGTAGCGGCGCTGCACATAGGCAAGCTCTTCACCGTTGAGGCCACCCGAGTAAGCGGAGATGAAGCGTGCTGCACGATTTGCATATCTATTACAATTAGCTGAGAATAAGGGCACAATTGAAAGCACACCGTAAGATTGATAGCTGTGGAATAGCATCCAGTGCGTTCTTCATGTTTTCCTCCATTTCATCGATTGTTTTAGTCTTGTCAGATTTACGATAAATCGCCTTTGCTGCGCCCCAGTACATTTCTATAAAATTCAGTTCACAATGATATTTTGGATAGAAGTCGCAGACATGTCCGCGGCCTTCAACGAGTTCCTGTAGTGCTGATTTCTGAGCCACAAAATCGGGCTGACAGAATATTGCTCGCCGGCAGCAGCAATCAGTCGCGTTGGGTTGGCACTTGAAGCCTGGGCACTGCGCATTCATCCCATTGCGATAGAGGCCACGCTCCCGGAGAATTTGCTCCATGCCCTTGAACCAGCCCGGCATCGTCGGGTGGCCTGCGGGCCAATAGAGCTGCTGCACAGATCCATCCGCCATCCGTCCGGGGCACATCTTCGGACCATTGGCTGTGTTGGTCCATGTTGCGTGGGGTCCCTTGGGCATCTTGCGGGCAGAAAGGGCGTCAGCGGCGCGTTTTTGATGACTTGGCGCGTTGTCGAAGAGGAATAGGCCAGTGGCGAACTTGTGCGTTTTCGATTCAAAGATGTCGATTGCGTTATCGACATGGGCAAGCAGCTCGTCATTCGTGAAGTAGCCGTCACGATTTTTACCTGCTCGGAAGAAGAGACGAGCCTCCCAGCTGTAAAATGTCAAAAAAAGTGAAGCAGGAAGGCATCACGCACTCATCCAATCGAAGACGACCCCAGTGCGCAACTAGAAAGTCAGAAACCATTATTGAGTCCCCTTCGCCCTTTGCTTCTGGTGTCGGCTTAACCAGGGTGTTGATCCATCCAACCTTGCGACGGTCATTCTTGTAGAAAGTCGACTCATCATGCGTGACGGGAATGAGTTGGAGCCTTTGTCCGATGTACTTTCCTGTCAGCTTGAAGGCGTCACCATTCGGTCGTGTTGCCTCCTTGCCCACCCGTGGCTGTAGCCTGATTCAATCAGCCCTGGCAGTTGCCACAGTATCAGATTTCAAACAGACTGGCACAGCCAGCGGCCTGGCAAAGCCACACATATTTCAACCATCTGCCTGCCGGCCCTGTGATTGATATTGATTCCTTGTCATTGTGCCGATCCTCTGCCGTTTGTCACCCAAATAGTTTTAACACAACCTTGAATTGGTCCTAAAGTACTGCCTAAACTTGGTGCGGTGCTGGAGCTACAAACAACTCCACTAGCACTGGCTAAGCCACTCCCTCCCTTCACCTAATGTTGACAATTCCTCCAAGCCTGTGACCAGCACCGAGTTAAAGACTCTCGCTGGTTCTTCTGCGAGTCGTTCTTGCTCGTTCGCGGCAAAAGCCCTCGTGATTGTCACGCTTGCGACAGCTGGCACAAGTGATTGGAAACTTGAATAGAATTCAGGACAGCGAGCGATACAACAATGATACCAAGTCGTTAACACAAACAAGCAAGCAAACACAATTCATATGTCCGTCTCAGAGAATCTGCATGTCATTGTCTGTAAGTCCATCGAATGCACCATCCAAAACACCTTCATCCTCCTTGACAACGGCTCGGACCGCATTTGCAAGGGATCTACCCCATTCGGAGTAGAAGCGCCGGCCATCCGTCGATGAATGTCTACCTGCCGCAATGCATAGGCCCGTAGGCCTGCAGCAACATGCATGTTGACGTCGTCCCGTTGCCTGTCAGCACGAACCTGCCACTGATTCTGCGTCCATCGGAGCGACCGCAGGACTCGCTTCATTTCCTCTCGCAACAATTCGACCTCCTCCTCCCATCGCTGCTCTTACGAGCGCGAGCTTTAGACCACTCGACCCGAATTGCTGTAATGTAACCGTTGAGTTAGAAAAGCGGAAATGTTGGGTCCCACTTACAATCATGAACCTCGCTGCCTTTGTTGGACCCATGCCAAATCCAAGAAACCCGGTTCGTAACTCGGCGGGTGTTCGGCTCGCTGCGTGTCTTTCTTGACCCATCTGCTCCATGAAGCCGCTGCGTGGCTGCTGCATCGATCTCAGCTTCAAACCGACAATTGATATCCTCGTCGTTGAGCCTTTTGAACTCAGGCGCAAAACCCGGTCCTTTTAGAGCAACGATGGCGGCTTGATTCGCTCGATAAGCTGCCACGATCCGAGCTATTGCCTCTGCCAATCGCGACATCAACGTCGCCGACCTTGTACGTGCTCGTTGCCCAACCATATGGCGGTCACGAAACCATATCATATGCATTTGCGATAGAGGCGAGTTCGCAGCGTTACGAGGGCATCTGCACATTGCCCACACCGAACTCTGGCTTCTGTTTCGATAACGCGAGAGGTGTAATTGACCGCGCTGCTCGGCCGTAAGATCGGAGGGAAGATATAACTTGATATATTCAGGCTGACATTCGGGCTCGTTCACGTCGCGTTCGCATCGTCAGCTTCGCGCAGAGTTTCAATGCCAGGCATGTAGGTGAGTTGCAGATGTTGAAACGAGCGCAATTGTTTGAGAAAAGACACTCGGAGCTCTTGAACTTGGCTCGCACGGTCGGCGGTCAAGGTCTTGCTCTTAAGAGTCGCTTGAATCTTCCGTCTAACAGACAGACTTTGAATTAGATCAAACCTTCAATTGAGAAACACCACTCACTGTATGTGTTGCAATTGTAATCCAGCTTTGATGAATGCAACCACAGTCTTCGTCCCCTCCAAGAGCGGTGCATGACCAGCCCGAGCTTCTTCGACTTCAGCCTTCTTAAGCTCGTCCCACGATTTGACGTTCACTCGGTCCATCTATGTGAACTCAATCAATGAGTTTCCAATCTACGCAATAACAGACCTTCCTGCCCACCAACTATGACAAATGGGCTAGCGTTCGACGTCGGATCCTTGTACCAGGCATCCATGCGACTTTTCCACTCTTTTCTTTTCTTGCTAGAGATGCTCTTGTCGAACTCCGCGAATTCAATGCCTTGCACTCGTCGTTCAGAGATGGCGACAATCAAGCGCCGAGCAAGTGTCTTTCCTGGGCGAACATCGTCAGTGCGAAGTTGGAGATTTCATAAATCGGACACTTGCCTAAGTGGATGTTTTTCTCGAAATTCAACTGATCGATGCGATCCTCCAAGACATCTAATCGTGCGCCTTCCCCCATCTCCTTAGTCGCCCAGCTTGCAGGATTGAGGCTTGCCCAAACGCGCTCCATTGCCTCCCCGTCAGTTTTGCCAATTCCCAGGAGATAGGCAAGGGCAAGTTGCGCTCGACATTGAAGCTCATGGGCGCCAGCATGCCAAACTGGAAGGCCAAACTGGATGTCGACGTTTTCGAATTCTGTGGCTAAATTGCTGGTATCCGCATTGCCTTTCCGTATTTTTTTCGATGCGTTGGAAAAAGTTCACCATCCATTGGCAAATAATGTCATATGCAAACCCATAGCTGAGTAACTTCTCCATCCAGAGTGTGCAGGCGACAATCCAGTCCACATTCGCATATCTAGGGAAGATCAGACAAATAAACAGCTGTGATAAGATGAATACTTGTACCTTTCGCCCTTCTGAAGATCGCCGAGTCCTCTTCGGCGCACTAGACCATGTCGAGAACAGACACAGCCCGCTACCCCGGAGACACGAAGACCAGTCGTGAGACGTGTCTCTTTTTGGAGTAAAAGCCGCGAAGGCCACGCAAGAGCTGACCTGAACCTGATTAGTATAATTGTCATTAACGAGAACACTACTTGCGTCTTTCTCCGCCACATAATTCTTGAGGTGTTCCTTGTAGGCCGTCGACTCCACCTAAATAGCCCAGTCCTGGTCCTAGAGACGGGTCGTCACGTTCGTTGGCACGCAGGCGATTCTTCAAACGGAAGTTTGCGTCGATAGAAAGCATGAGCTTATACAGGTATCTGAGAGACGTGAGTTTGTAGATGTGGAGTTCACAGCAAAACAGACTTGTTTTGCTCTTTCACATTTTGCCAGCCTTCCGGCAAATTGCGACCTTCGTCTGGACAAGCCCAACAAAGGACGGCTAGCCCTCCGGGCTTCGTTGACACCATCCCGCCAGGCTCGTGAGCTCTCCCTGCCCGTTTCATGCGTTTTAAGAAGTCGTACTGCCTAGCCATACGACCAAAAAGCCTTGTATCGATCCTGTAAGTTATGCCATCTCAGAAAACAGCAACCATGCAATCACTAAGCAACTCACAGGTGTATCCTCGGTCTGAGTTGGGTCTTGTTGCCTCTCTAATGCACGGATAAAATCGTGTGTGGTGACGTTGCCAAGAGCCCGCAGCAACCGGAAGTGCTCAAGCACCGCAAAGGTCGCACAGGTCGCAGGACTGACCACCGTCGCCGGATACCAACAGTTGCGAAGTAATTGCTCCACAGTGTCGGTGCCATTGGTGTTGTTGCAATCACAATATTGAACGTCCACGTTGTAGATGCCGTTCATGTCGATAACCACCATGGCTCGTCTGGCGCCAGGGAATGGGCAAACATCTCCATCGTGGCCCAGTTGATGCAATTCTCCGAGGCCATTGACGCCCTCACCGCTAGTTTTGCGGTGATAGAGGGAAACTCGGGTCCAGAACTGTCCGGTCCATTTCTGAAGGAAGCCGTCAATAAAAGTGAAGGATAGAAAGTGTAATGTAGCTTACTTGCAACGTATGGAGGGGACGCCGAGCATGCTCTTTTTTGACACAACCCTCACAAAGAATGTGGTCGCCGCATTGTTGACAGCGAAAGAACCGATGGTCGGTCTCAGTTATGGGGGCTAAACACAGCTTGCAGTGAGCTCGGCCGCCCAAACCGTCGTGCCGGGCGAGCTCTTCTAAGAATACTGGGGCAATGCGCTTCCACATGAGCATTGGATCATCCTGAGACAGATGAGTGTGTATTATAAGCATTTTTTTTCACACACAGAATTGTACCGCTTTCGTTTGGTCAGTTCTTCATCAAGAATAACGTCGAAGGAAGATATGGTGGACGCTATGGCGTCAAGCTCCTCTGCGTCGTCTTCAGGAAAGGGCATCCAGCCCTGGAGTTGCGGGTCGGCTTCTTCAACCTTGTGGGTGCGAGGACGCTTTCGAGGCGACAAATTCAGACCAGCTAAGGTTCCCCTTCGTCCATCGACAGACAGTGTGATTTGCTCATCTTGGGGCTCCAAATCGATATTGTCGTCGAAGTAGACATGCCGCTGAGCGCGAGTCAGAGGCGCCATGAAGAGTTTTCAGAGAAGAGAAGAAGAATTGATGATTTGATCGGGCCGACAGACGAGTTTGTCATATCGGATTGCAAATCCCACTGAAAACATGAAAAGTTTTGTATTTTGTACGAAGAACGCCAATGAAACTAGAGAATAGCGATTTTTGTGTATCTAATCCTCAACAGGGCCAGTCAGCCGGCCACTGCGCAGGGCTAAGAAATCTGTAGAGGTAAATCGCTCCCCACTTGAAGGTCAGTATCGTCCTTGTTCTGGCTGAGGGAAAGGGTCCATCGAGATATGCCTTGATTGCTGCGTCGCCTTCGCTCGACGAAAAGTTGAGAAAAAGTTGGGAAGGGCCAGAGTTGGAAGACGTCTGGTCACCCGAGACGCGCGAAATTGCGATGAAGGAGGTTCTGGGCTCGCAGGCAAGGTATAACCCGAAAAGTTACGCGGAGTATTTTCTGCGGCAGGGGTCGTTTGAGTCTGGGTGAACCTGGAGATGCGCGAAAATTCTTGTTGTCCTTTCGCCTGGACAGATGCTGGCAGACTGGCCACATCGGCCGCGGCCGACACGCGAACTGGTAGCATTTGCGCGGGTAGGCGAAAGACCCGGGATGGGGCGGACGCGGCCCTCAGCCTCAGCTCTTCGAGTCAAAATTTCCGTATCTGCCTCCACGGCGATGAGTTGCCTCAACACAACGGGGTCTTGGTCAGTCGAGTAAAACGACTCTACAAATGATCCAGTAAGCGAATGAAGGCTAAAGCCGATTTGAAAACATACGCAAGCTGAGACCTAGTTGCGCTTGCAGAGCACGAAGTTTCGGCGGTGTCGTTGAAAAAGTCGATGAAGGCCTCAGCCTCCGACTCGGAGGCTGTT